ATTCCGAGCCGGACTGCAGGAATGATTGGGAGGCAGTGGGCAGTGTAGGGAGCTTTTTGTGTGTGAGAGAGATAGAGAGAGAGAGGAAGAGAGGGGTGGCGCTGCAATCACCGGCGCGTGCAAACCAGCCGCGCATCCGGTCACCGCGCCACTGTAATTTGGCCGCGTTAAAGTAATTGCACTATATCGGCCGGCATTTGTTGCTATCATTGCGCTCTTGTTGTTGTTGTTTTTGCTGAGGCTGCGGCGGCGCGGCGGAGGTGGGAACGAACAAACTGTTGCGCCGCGCGCGGAGCCGCGAAAAAAAAGCGGCGGGGGGCGTTTGGCTTTTAAAAAAAGAAGGGAAATGCTAGTGGGGGAGGGGGAGGGGGGACTGGGCCAAAGTCACCGCGATGCGGGCCACCACCGGGCCACCACCGGGCCACCTGATGATGCGCAGATTGGCTGCCGTTGGCTGCCGTTGGCTGCAGGGCCCCGGGGACCCTTTCCCGCGTCCAGCCCCGCATCCCTTGATAACTTGAAAGAAGGCAGGGCGCGTCCCCCAGACGGCCAACGCCGCCAACGCGGAACCAAGAAGGCTGCGAAACGGAGTTGGCGGAAATGTTTGGTTTGGAGCCGTACCTAGCGCCCAAAGTAATCCCCTCCCCTCTCCTCCCCCTTTTCGGGCCGGCCAAACCTTTGTTCCCGTTTCTTACACCCGCTAATTAAATTGGCAGTAAATATTGAAGGCAGCCCTTCCGTGTATTAACGAATGGGAAACACCATTAATAAGAGCCGAATTAGCAGGGCTAGCTGGCGGCGCTGCGGCGAGGCTAGCAGGGCTGCCAACTAAAGCTATTACGCCGCCTCCGCCGCGCTGCGTGGCCCGCCCGGCCCGCTTGGCCTGCACCCCAAACTTTAGGGGGCTGTTTGCAATCAGTCCTCTCTCTCTCGCTCTCTCTCTCTCTCTCTCTCTCTCTCTCTCTCTCTCTCTCTCTCTCTCTCTCTTTCACTTCACACCGTCCTATGCCCCGCGAAGCCCCGCGCGCATCCTTTGCTGCAACTTTATTTTCGGTTTATTTTTAATGAGTGTGTCGGCATTGCCAGGCTTGCCAGGCTCCTCACCGCAGAGCCACGTGACCGGCGCCCGTTCAAACGACCGAAGGGCTGCGGCAAGCCTGGGAGAGAGAGAGAGAGAGAGAGAGAGAGAGAGAGAGAGAGAGAGAGAGAGAGAGCAAACAAACTGGGGATTCAATCCTTCGCCGCCACTGGAGGATTATTCTGTTTCGGAAGTGTCTGCAGACTCGCTCCTAACATGTGGGCTTGATTCGCTCTGTCTCTCTCGCACCCCGACGCCCCGTGCGTGCGAGTGTGGGAGAGTACGAGAGTGATCCGGCCTCCTGGTTATGCCGGCCCAAAATAAGGCCAAGTCATTACAAACTTGGCGTGGCCGCGTCCCGGCCGGTGGACCTTTTTACGCGAGTTGACGTCGAGGTTTCCATCAGCAGCGTGGCGCGGGGGCGGCGCGGGGGCGGCGGGCGGCGCGGGGGCGGCGCGGGGGCGGCGCTCCAAAGTAGCCGTGCGCCCTCGCGGGCACGTCCGCGTCCCGCCCCCGCGCCCCGCCCCCCGCACGGCATTCGAAGCATCGTCTCACTCTAATCACTCAATTAAACGCTCCTCTCGCGATCAATCGGCATCGATACCATTGCCTCGCAAGGATTTTTAATCTCGCAGTGACGTTCGACTGCACCGCTTTCAAAGCGACCCCCCCCCCCAAATGAGTGCGAGCGAGACGGAGCGACCGTCCGGAAGCAGGCTGCTTGGCGCGGGTTCAAGCCCAGCCCTGTACCTCGTTCATTACCGTGCCGATGCGCGCCAACTCGGTGAATCTCTTCAATTTGCCGGGCTCAATTATTTCGGCCCGCGTGTGCTACGCTACGCACAGTGGGCCAGAAGACCGGTGGAGGCGGCCAAAACTCTAGCCGCGTTTTGAGCTCCAGAGTCGCTAAACAGGACAGGACGCGTCACGGCAGTGTTAGGGTTTTCCTGGACGACCAAGTTTTCCCGCCCCTTCTGGTGAATGTGTTTGTTGGAAAAACGGGCCGGGTGGGGGGTCGAGAGAGAGAGAGAGAGAGAGAGAGAGAGAGAGAGAGAGAGAGAGAGAGAAGGGTGAGCGTCGGGTCGCCTCACGTCTCCTCGGGTTTATGTCCGCGATCCAATTTAACAGGGTCTTGACACACTGGACGCACGGCAGCGCAGTGGCGGGGGCGGGTCGAGGGGGGTGGGGGGAAGGTTAGACCCAATTATTCCCATACGGACACTCACGTCACTGTGAAGAGGAAATTGCACGTGGGAGGGAAAGGCCGGGTCAGGGTAGGGAAGCTCTCAAAGCCTTGCCACCCCGGCGCAGCGGCGTAGCCCACAGGCGTCGCGGCCCCACGTTTGACGACACGAGCCTGCCTCCTCTCTCCCATCCACACACACACACACACACACACACACACACACACACACACACACACACACAATTTACCACCGTGTTCGCTGTTTGTCAAATGGAAAGGGAAGTGGCCAACCTGGGACAGTCTTGGCTCGCTCACTCGGCCACACCTGGGCCGAAGTCGGCCGAAGTCGGCCGATGTCGAGTGGCCCGCGGCCCACCGATGCGGAGCACCAAATCGATAATAGTTAGAGTGTACAGTGCGGCGTTCAGTCACAGCTAATGAAGAAGCGGCAAAACAACAAGCATGACTCGCCGTGAGGACGCCGGTTGATTGGATGGTGAAAATCGTGGCCGAGTCGGGTGGGAGTCGCGGCGGAAAAGTGTTTGGTTTTCCCATTTTCCGCGCCGTTTCTGGCGGTGTGCTGGCGGTGCCGGCTCCGTGAGGGTGGGGGTTACTACAATGGGCGCATGCACGCCAAGCCGCGCCGCACGAACTCGGCGAGGAGAGGCTCGCTCGCGTAAAAAGAGTAATTTGGATCAATTTGGACCGTGGTTCGAGCCCAGGTGAGGCGGTCGGAAGGGGGCACCTCCGGTTGTTTGGAGGGCCCTGCGCGAGGCTGTGGGTCAAAACGACGCGCGCGCACGGTTCGGGGAGGGCAAGGGGCCTAAGAGACGCAAGCAGCCAGACAGTGGGTTGATATCGTGTCTATGGCACCAGGTTTCGCAATGGTGCTTGCCGTTGGCGGACAGGGGCTCTCGCAGCCGCGTCGCACAGTGGGCCAGAAGACCGATGAAGGCGGTCAAAATCCCGGACGCGTTTTGAGCTCCAGAGTCGCTAAACGGGACTCGAACCGACCGTGTGACCCCACCAACGGATTGCTGTCCGAACGAGGAATACATCGGTGGGGTCACACGTTCGGTTCGAGTCCTGTTTAGCGACTCTGGAGCTCAAAACGCGTCTAGAGTTTTGGCCGCCTCCACCGGTCTTCTGGCCCACTGTGACTGTGCCACGCTCCCCCCTCCCGCTCCAGCGTAACTTTGCACTCAGCCGTCATTTACATCTCTTGACACTTTCGTCTGGTAGTGCCCCCTCCCCTCCCCTCCCGAGGGGCCGGCCCGCTAAGGCCCGACTGTCTGACGGACGTCGCCCGGCGTCGCCCTCGCCTCTTCCATCGATACATTAGCTTCTCAATCCATCGTTCCGCGGAGGCGGCGGGAGTCTCCACGGCGACGGCCGCGCCGCGCTTTGGGACAACTGTCCGCTTCTTTTTTTCTCCTTCTCTCTCTCCCTCTTCTTCTTCTTCTTCTTCTTCTTTGCTTGGCCTCACCGCGCGGGTGCATTACGCCCGCCTGCCCCGCCCTCCTCCGCGATCGGACAGTACTCGGCAATTTCCTCGCAAGCACCAGAGAATTACGGAGGAATGCTCCGTCTGTCTGTCTGTCTGTCTGTCTGTCTGTCTGTCTGTCTGTCTGTCTGTCTGTCTGCCTGCCTGTCCGCTCTGGCCGTGATTCGGTACAATGCTCGTTATTCAGACTGTCGCTGCGCGGTGGCGTCCCGGTCGTCCGTCGGTCGGAATCAAAAACACGGGAACTGCATTTTCATTCATTCCCAGGCAGGCACGCCGTGCCGCGCCGTGGCCTGACACGCGAGACGCCGCGGTCGCGGGTTCGACTCTCCTCGTGCGGGAAATTCGCGAGGGGGCGTGCCTAAACTTGCGTCGGGGGCTGACCCCCGGGCCTGAGTTTGTCTCGTTGTTTACGCCCGCCCCCTCGGCCTCTCGGTGCAAGGGCGTCTCCGGCCGGCCCCGCCGCGGCCTTGTACAGTGCAGTAGTTGTGTCCCCAGTAACTCAATCGCATTGATGCCATCCCCCAACATCCCCCCATCCCCGTGGAGGTGGGGAAGGGGATCTCCAAGTGGAGGGGACCACGTGTTGCCGCCGGGCCGCCCACAGTGGGCCGCCCCGCCACCCTCCCTGGGCCACCCTGGGGCCTGGGGCTGGGCCTGGGGCCGCGCCCTGTCTCTCTCGCACCCCCGCGGCAAGCCCAGGCACGCCCCACGGGCCCCGCGCGGCGCCCCGCGAGTGCGACAGAGACGGAGCGGCCGGGGCACTGTTCGGAGTGGAGCGAGGCTGCGAGGCACTCTTACCCTTTTGTTTGGTTCTGCCCTTCGGAGCGCCTCCCTTCCCTTCCCCGCCCGTTCCTCGCTCCGTCCTCCGTTCCGGCCCATAGTCCCTTTCGGGTGATTCATCCCTCCCTGGCGACAATCAGGGATGGGAGTTTACCCCTTGTTTCCAGCTGTGCATCGCTGTGTACGCGCGCACCGACAGACACACAGACAGACAGACAGACAGACAGACAGACAGACAGGACACTGACAGACGGACGGACGCACTGGGCCATATCGGCCGCTCATTGGCCTATTGGAATAATTGCAGCTGATTTTATCGATGGCAATGTAAATAGGTTCCGCGGTCGATCCACCCACACGCCCACCCCCGTGGGGGCGGCACACTGTGGGCGGAGTCCCTCCTCCTCCTGCACCGCCCCGCTGACCCTCGTCTCGTCTGTGTGTTGCAGGTACTGCCGAAGTACTGTCTGCGATCTCCGTCTGGACTAGTTTGGGCGCCGTAAGTATATGTTTTTATTTTTGTTTCGTTTTCGTTTTCCAGTCTTTGGCCGGTCTCCATGACGCCCTCGCGCGGCTTCGCTTTTAATCCCCGCTGCTCTTTAGTGGGGCGTTTATTTAAAGGGTTAAGGCATTTTCTTTCCCTCTCTCTTTTTGCCCGGTGTGACCACCTCTGGCCGTGTCGAATAACAATCCCGGTCCTTTCTACTTTGGCTCTGAAAGCCCGGCGTGGCGCCGGACGGGCGGGGCGGGGCGGGGCGCCACCTCGCGTTCTCATAAGAGTGCCTCTTGAATCCGACGTCTATTCGCGTAATCTGCGGACGGAATTAAAAAAAAAAGCCCGGGAAAATTTAATTAGCGGCACGGCGCTGCCCGCCTCTTTATACCCCTTCCAATCCTGCCCTCCCCGCCCCGCCCCGCCGCCCCCTGCCCGGCGCCTTACTTCACTTTGCCAATAACGTTGGCAGCGCTACCGAGCCAGCCACCGCCGCTGTCAAACGTACGTTCGTCTAAAGCTGACCAAGGCAGTCCTTATTGCAAACTGGGGAGAGCGTGGCCGGGGGGGGGGGGGGGGGGGGGGGTTCAATAAGTGAAGTCCACGCTCCGGACTCCGGACGGGTTGGAACACGGCGCTAACTCGGCGTGGCCCCGGGAGCACCGCGGCACCTTCTGCTCCCAAGTTGTTAAAAAGAGTTAGCGGAAATAAAGCAAAATAAAAAAAAGGAACACAAAAAAAACACGGAAAGTTATGGGTTTCGCTTCGACCTCTGCAGATATTGCGCTATCCGTCTCTCCGGGCGCGTTTCGGCTGGCCGGGGTTCGGCCGCGCGTTCCGGGTTCGGGGTTCCGTCGAGCATCGGTGTTACGTGATAGTTGGACGGCCTCAGGTGCGGGCAGACAACGCTTGGCCGAGCCGTGCGGAGTCCCCCGCGGGAGATGCCCGCTTTTTCTGCCCCCCCCCCATCGCTTTTATCGCTTTTCGCGGAGTCGCGGCTGCAGTCTGACCCCGGTCCAGGCACGCCGCGCGCCTCGCTCCGAAACCGCCATCAAGAAGACAACATCTCTTTAATTAAATGTAATAAAGTTTAATTAAAAGTCATACTTCACGGTTATCTGTCATGTCGGCCACGACGAAAGGCCCGCGCTGCGGCAGGGGTGGCGGCTCCCCCCCCCCTCCCCCTTCCCCCTTTCCCTTCCCAATCGTATTGCATCGGTGCAATTCACGAGCTCGCGTTTGGAGAGGGGGGGGGGAGGGTGTTTGGGATCGAACAGGGTAATGAATGATTTAATTAATGTGGATTTTGGAATGCCTTGCCTGTCGTCGTTGGCGCGCGGTGTTTGGCAGTGTGCTGCACTCGGCGTGGCGTTTGGCTTCGGACGCACCGTGTGTCTTGGCCTCGAGGACTCGCACTGTAGCGCCACGAGTACGTGTACGCGGGCAGTTCTGTCCCTTCAAAACAAAAGATAAAGCGGATTCAGGGCTTCTACTGTACCCGCGGTGCCGAAATCGAGACCGACTGTCTTTCTTGGACAGTCACAGGCAGCAGCCATGGGCATGCAGCGAGAGTGGGCGACGGCAAGTTGGTCCTCCCCCGCAATTATAAGTGAAGGGGAGAGGGAGAGAGAGGCAGTCGTGGGAGGGAGAGAGAGAGAGAGAGGGAGGGAAGGGGTAATCAGCCAGCTCGTCGCGATGGCTGGTCCCGGAAGCGCATTGGACTCGGGGCGGCGGGCTTTTTGAATTGGACCGCGGCGTGCTTGGTTCGTCTTCGTCTTGGCGGAGTTTGAACCAAAGCCGAGTCGCGGCGCCTGGTTTCTGTCGGGCAGCGCGGCCTGGGGGGGGGGGAGACGCGTGTGAGTGCGAGAGAGAACGACCTCGTTGTTCGAGGAGCGGGCCAAAGGCGAGTGTTTTTGATTCCCACGCGCCGAAGGGCCGAAGGGACCCATCCTTGGAGGACCCTCCAGGAAGGGCTAGCGGCCGCACCCCCGGGGCCGAGGCTGGGCCGATGCTTGGCCGAGGCCGGCCTGGGCGTGGCCGTGGCGTCTCCATGGCATGGCGCCGAGGCGAGCGAAACACCGGCCCTGTAATTTGCCCGTCACTGGGATGCACTCCAGGGCCTCGGTTCCCTCCAGGTTCCCTCCAGGTTCCCTCGGATCACGACCAAGGCCTCGACCGCGAGGCCAGGGCGGCCAAGGCGCTTAGGTCCTTGGATACAGACGCTGCTTATCTCACGGGTCGGATCGGGTCGACCAGCATCGGCCCGAAACGCTGCACTGGTGCTCGAGCCGCGCAGCACCGCGCAGCACTGTCCGAAGTCGTTGGCCGATTGCGTGGCAGGGCCAGGCAGGGCCAGGCTTGACGCCCTTCGCACTCGGGACAAAGGGTGAGGGGTTTCACTGCAAGTAGCACTCGGCGGAGGTCGACGTTCAACACTGGCCAAAGTCACAGTACTTGAGCCCTGCACTGGTAGTCATGAGTGTGGAAGGACGGGGTCGACCGAGGCTCGGTGAGGCCTTCACTTCCTGGGCCACTTTCCCACGCATGGCATCAGGCTGGCTGACCGGAGACGGGTGTGGGTGGCGCCGAGTTGGCACTGCGGTTCGCACCGCCCGACTCGCAAATCGACGGGTGGATCGTCGCCATGGGAAAATAAAACCGCGGATGGAAATTCACCCGAAAAACTGAAGGTTGTTTGGGCCGTTCCGCACGCGCGCCTCGCTGGCTCGCTGTTGGCGTGCCGCGCGCTCGCGGTGCACAGTGGACCGGAAGACCGGTGGAGGCGGCCGAAACTCCAGACGCGTTTCGAGCTCCAGAGTCGCTAAACAGGACTCGAAGCGAGCGTGTGACCCCACCAATGGATTGCTCTCTGAACGAGGAATCCATTGGTGGGGTCACACGTTCGGTTCGAGTCCCATTGGCGGCTCGGAGCTCAAAACGCGTCTCGAGTTTTGGCCGCCTCCACCGGTCTTCTGGCCCACTGTGCGTTGGCCGTGCCGGTGATGCCCGCGGAAACGGAATCACCTTGAAAGAGCAGCAGCGCCACGCCGTCGACGTGCAGGTCGACGTGCAGGTCGACGTGCAGGTCGACGTGCAGGTCGACGTGCAGGTCGACGTGCAGGTCGACGGGTCGCTGCCGCGACTGCCGGTCGCTGGACGTGTGCGGGATGGCCAACGAGGTGCCGCCACTGTACAGTCACCCAACTTTTCCGGCGAAGTGCGCGCAGGTAAATGTTTAAATTCGACTGGAGAAAGCGACTGGAGGCTCCAGGCCGGGCGTGCCGGCCCAGGCCCAGCCCGTGCCCGGACCACGGCCAGGCCAGCCCGGCGCGGCCGATCGATGGAGATACTGTCTTGTGTGGGAATAATTGGCCGGATGACTCACAATCGTAATACTGTGTCGATTGTACGATGCGTATCTTGCGCCCGAGCGTGCGGAGGAGGGGAGTTTCCCCCGGCCGAGCCGAGCCGCGCCGGCGTAATGACATGTTTACCGGTAATAAGGGCAGATAAGTGCGGGTCGCGCGGCCGTTGTGCCGCTCTGGCGGGGCCCTGGCGGGGCGCGAACCCGCGACCGCCGCCTCGTGGATCCGGTGCGCTGACCACCACGCTGACCACCACGCTGACCACCACGCTGACCACCACACTGACCACCATGTTTTTTGTTGCAGGAGCGCTCGCAACCGTCAAGCTGGCCGCCAGCGCCACTCTCCCCGCCATGAACCCCCACGGCCCCCACGGGGGGCACGGGCCCCACTCGCATGGGCCGCACTCCCACGGGCCGCACCACTACCAGCCGTACCCGGACCTGTCCAGCCCCAGCCCCGTCCCGCACTCGCCCGCCAGCCACGGCGCCGACACGTCCCCCTTCAACGGCCACCCCGGCTCGGGGGGCGGCAACGGCACGGGGGGCGGCAACGGAACGGGGGGCGGCAACGGCGGCGGCAACCCCCACCAGCACCACCTGCAGGTGTCCATGGACACGCACCACGGCGGCCACATGGGCGGAGGCCCCGGCCACCACCACCAGCTCCACAACCACCACCACCACATCAACAACAACAACAATAGCACCAATAACAACAACAAGAACAACAACAACGGCGGGCACGCGTGCGCGGGCTGCGGCGGCAAGATCCTGGAGCGGTACCTCCTCCACGCGCTGGACCGGTACTGGCACCACAGCTGCCTCAAGTGCACGTGCTGCGCGGGGCAGCTCGCCGACCTGGGCACCTCCTGCTTCACCAAGAGCGGCATGATCCTGTGCAAGGCCGACTACGCGAGGTAAGCATGCCCCTACAGTGTCCCCCTGCCTGCGGCTTGGAGCGTGGTACAGTACACTGGCCAAGACGGCCATCGGAAGCAATCCTGGCGACGGAAATGGCGCCGCTGATTGGTGCATTTTGGAGAGGTCCGTCCGAAGTGGCGTCCAAAGGCCGGGGCGCCATGAGCTCCCGAATGAGCCCGGCCGCGCCAGACAGCAGAGTCTGTCTCTCTCGCACTCACGGGCCGCCCCGCACAGGTGCGAGAGAGACGGAGCGACGGATGCGACTCAGCCTGCAGGCGGTGATCCGATTGCCGCATCGCGTGGACCGGCTCCAAAAAATGGACGCCCCGCTTCGATTGGCGAGGCGTGCCGCGGCGAGGGGCGCCAGCGTTGCGCCAGTGTGCCAGTCGTTTCCCGAGGCTGATCAGCCGCCTCAAAGCCACCCTAATGGATACGAAAAAACCTGATGGACTCACTCATAAAACCCGGACAAAACCAAGTCAAATTTTGAGAAAAAGTACCGATGCTCATTTTGAAATTTGCAGACTCCCAGTGCAGGTCTAGTTTCTTTTACAAGAAGTGTAGGCGCGCGCGCGCTGCAGGGCTCAGTGACCACCGTGAAGGCACACACACACACACACACACACACACAGAGGCGGAAAGGAAAGGGAGGCAGCGCATCCCAATCAGGGGGGACCAACTGCAATAAGTTGCCTTCGTTTTGTCTCTGTGTACCGCCCCTCCCCCTCCCCTCTCCTCCCCCTTCCCCCTTTCTGCCAATCAGGCTGCACACAGGGGCACGTCTGATTACAATCCCACCACAGCGATGTGCAGACTGTTTCCTAGCCTACTCACCCCCTCCGCCATTTTACTTGCCCCCGTATCTCTTTACCCCCCCCCCCCTTGCCTTTCACCACCACCAGACTGAGGCTGGTGTGTTTGGAAGGGGCCTTCACCGCCTCGCTTCATTTCGAGTAAAATAATGCGGACGCAGAAACGGCGGCCGGGTAACGAACGAGGGAGAGGGCGGCCGGCCGAGTGGCGGCGAAAACAAGGAAAGCGAGGATGGCTGTATTGTCGCCCCGAAACGGTCATCAATTGCTCGGACGATAAGTCGATTCCTCGATCCCTCGCGACGTGACGTGTTGAGATTCGATTCCCCCGCCTTTGACACCACCGGGGCGGGGCGGGCCGGCCTCGGGAAAGAAAGGGTGGAGTTGTTGACTCGATTACCAAGTGGGTGTATCGCGGTGTGATCGAATCTGCGGGAAAACCTGTAAGCGGAGAATTGGGGTGGGGGGGGGGGGCTGAGACGCACAGGGCTGGCGGCTTTGGCACCGCGGCGGCACCTTTGCGTACGGAGCCCTTCGCACAAGCATCAGGTTTTAGTGCAGATTGGAAAACGACGCGGCGCTTTCGTGTTCCTGGAGGTATCGTGACTCTGGTCGCACTCTGGCCGTGTTTGATGCGCCGTTTCGAACGCCTTTCTCCTTGCAGTATTCCCGACGGGCTGGCTGCCTGCCTGGCTGGCTGCCTGGCTGGCCGCCCCCCGCCGCGCCGCTCCCTTCGTTAGTGGGCCGTCTGCCGGCCCGCGCCCCCGCCTTCCTAATGAGTGCGACAGAGACGGAGAGACGGGCGTCGGTTCGTTAGTTGCGCCCGCCGCCGCCGTCGTCGCTCGCGTCGCATTTGTTTGTCACGTTCGTTTTCACATTCGTCACACTGGGCCGGACTAGCGTCCCGGACCGGCCGGCCGGCCGGCTCGGGTTTCAAGTTCGCCGTCCAAGGCCCCGTGAGCCCTTCCTTCTAGAGCAGTGGGCGGGTCGCGGACCGCGCGTGCGTGGCGGCCCGCCAATGCTGCAGGTTGGGCGGGCGGACGTTTCCCATGCAGCAGTGCATACAGTCAAATCTGAATACACTCTACCAAAAATGTCCTGTAAATGCCGTTAATTTATTACCAGTTTTCACTGTAGGTCAATTCACAGCGTTTACTGTGATCTGCTCACGGGATTCACTGTGATCTTGTTCGCGGTGTTCACTGTGATCTGGTCCCCAGTAAACACTGTGAGTTTGACGCCGCTAAGCACCGAAGTACTGCAAATCAGGCTCCAATTCACGGCGTTTACTGTGGCCAGATCACAGTGAACACTGTAACCGAGATCACAGTGAACGCCGTGAACTAGTTCACAGCAAACGCCGTGAATTGCATAACAGCAAACATTGGTAATAAATTAACGGCGTTGACAGGACATTTTTTGTAGAGTGTACGAGAGAGAGCCTCGACCCTCCGCCGTTCCGGTCTGGAAGTCCTGAGAAGTCTCAGTCGCACGGGCTGCCTCCGCCAGTCTTCTAGCCCACTGTGAGGTGTAACCTCGCGCGTTCTTTCCAGGCCAGTCTGAGACTCACCTCTGGTAATTAGAGTTATGCCCATTGAAACACGCGACGGTCGCAGCGCGCTTCGCTCATGCAGGCGAGGCTGAGTGCGAAAGCCTCGAATGCATCCTGAATGCAGCTGGCTGGGTGCAGCTGCAAAGGGTGGCGCTACGCTGCACTCTCGGCTCGCCAAGTGTTGACGCAAGCCACACTGGCAGCAGGGCGCTAATTCAACTTGTCCTAATTTTGATCTAATCATGTCCCCTTCCTTTTTCTCCTCTTTCTTTCTCGCTCAGCACGTGTGAGTCCCTAATGAAGGCACGCGCCTCCCCCCCCTCTCTCCCTCGCCAATCCCTGCCCCCCCCCCCGCATGTGTTGGCGGGAGGGCTTGCCTGCTTGGCGCCCTGCCCCGCGTTGCAGCAGGCAGATTCGTCCCCTCTTTTTCGCCTTTTTTCCGGGGGACTTTCTTTTTTTTTTTTCTTTCATCTCGTTGGCGAAATTTGATTTATTCTTCACAGCGTAGACACACGCGGGGCGAAGGCCCGGCCCGGCCCGGCTGCGCGCTAATCCACCACACCAGCGGGGCGAGGGGCGTTCGCGCCGAAACCTCTGATGACTCGCGACAGCCGCATTCGTCGCCCCGCGTCGCACCGCGTCGCACGCCGCATCCGCCGACGGGGTGCCCACCGTTTTCCTCCCCCTTCCCCTTGTTGTCCTTTTTTCGCGGTGTACTCTCTCGTCGTGCCGGCACGTGGGCCCAATCAAACCGGCCCACTTTTAAAGTTGGCCGCGCCGAGTCTCCGAATCCGCGACCGCCCTGTCTTAGAGACGTCTCTCTCCATCAGTGTCCTTCGGTGTCCTTGTCCCTTCCGCTCAAATTCCTTCTTGTTCTCTCTCTCTCTCGCTCGCTCCTTTGACGAGACGACGCCAATCAGATAGAGTGCACGCTGGAGCTGGAAGCGCTGGAAGCGCTGGAAGTGGGATTCGCTGGCCGGGAGGTCGTGTGCAGGGCGGGGCGGGGCGGGGCGGGGCGGGGCGGGGCCAAGCCTTTTCCCACCTGCCGAGTGGCTCTGTCTCTCTCGCACCGCCACGGCACCACGCCACGCCCCACGAGTGCGACGGAGAGGGTTCGGACGCGGCCGGGGATCGGCACTAAACCGCGAGACCCGGTGAACTAACCTCGGACGTCCCTCTCTCTCTCTCTCTCTCTCTCTCTCTCTCTCTCTCTCTCTCTCTCTCTCTCTCTCCGAGGTGGCAGCGGTGCAGGCCAGACGAGGACGGAAGCTGGAATAATCTATTAACGCCGCCCCACTTTAAGGTTATGGTCGCAACTTTGGCTCGGCGGAGAGTCGGAAGTTTTGATAAGGTCGTGTGTGTGAGCGACAGGGGGAGGGGGTGTGTGATTTCGGCGGATTGAGACGTGAGGTGACCGGGAGGAGGGGGTTGGTTGACGGGAAGTGGGTCACGGTGACGGCGGCACGGCGGCAACCACCCCGCCGGCCCGCCATCGACGAGCCACGCCAGGTCCGCGGCGTCCGCGGTGTCCGCGGCCATGGCGCCGTGGCCGCGAGGATGCACAGTGCACCAGCGCGTCTCCGACGGGCCCGCCGCACTGCTGTTGTTGCCACGTAGTTTCGGTACGGCCCCGAAGAAAAGCTAATTAAAATGTTCCCCGTGGCGGAGGTGGCGGTAGCGGCGGGTAGTTGGTGCTGGTGCGCGGGGCTGGCTGGCTGGCTGCCTGATTATCTCTCTTTCGGTCGAGACGAAATAAATCGTTCTCGTCAAATTTTAATTTTGTGACGGTAGCAGCATCCCTCCTTGATTGCGTTCCGAGGCGAACGACTTCCTCCTCCACTTGCCCCCCCCCCTCCCCCTCCCCCTCCCCCTCCCTCCCCGCGCGTTGTTCTCCGTCTGACACACTCGCCTCGGTTTGGGAACCCCCCCTCCCCCTCCTCGTCCTCCAATCCCCGACGCGCAGAATCAATTTCAAACTTTTCGGATCGTTTGGTAATGACGAGCTAGGCCCGCCTCGCCACCGTGTTTACAGTGTACGGAGTGTACGGGGCGTTTGCAGTGTACCGAGTGTACGGAGTGTGCCAAGTGAAACCATAGAGGCCGACTATGCGCAGTTCGTCTCAAGCGTGGCCGTTTTTGAAACGAGTATAGACGGAGTGGGTGTTCGAAGCTCGACCTTCCCCTGGAACCCGCCTTGGTCGCGGCCGCACACCCTTCCGCCCGGCCAGCCCCCCCCCCCCCCCCCCCCCCCGTGGTCCACCATTTCCTCCCCTCTCCAGTGACGTCTCAGCTCCAGTCTTTGTTGTCCGCTGGTAATTAATTTCCTGTTCGCTCGTTATTTTCCCCTCCCCCTCTCTCTCTTTTCTCTCCCTCGCTCTCTCCCTCTCACCCCCCCCCCCCTCCTCCCTCTCTCTCCCTTTAACCCCTGCGCTTTTCCAAGCGGCTCAGTCTTGTTTCTGTCACTACCCCTGCATTCCGCACGCACCTTTTCATCCCCACAGTGGCTGTCTTCCTCTCTCTCCCTCTCTCTCTCTCTCTCTCTCTCTCTCTCTCTCTCTCTCTCTCTCTCTCTCTCTCTCTCTCTCGGATTGTTCAGTGTATTGACCGCATGCCTCTCTCTCTCTCCCTCTCG